CATTATATATATATATATATATATATACATACAAATATATACATGAAATTAAGTTATTTCTATAAAGGTACAGTTTATGAGCAGGTGTTTGTACTGTAATTACAACACCAACCCAGACAGTTCATCCCTTTAAATTGTTAATATATGTCAATAAAGGTCACTTTTATGATGTTTAAATGTTGTTGGAGGACAGATCAAGCTCCCATATTGCAATTCAAAAGAATAAATAAGTGGAAATACCACAAACAAGATCAGAAAATACGGAAAACTGTTAATTTACAGATATTTTTGACAGTGATCATAACAGTGTGAGGGCGTACTGTTCATGATGATGATACAATAACACATAAGCTGCTTTATACAAGTTAAAGGACTGTGAAAAAGTTTAGACGCCCTGCTAAATTACAATTTCTCTATTTCAGGACATAGATATATATCTGATATTTGGTAGGTTGTAAAATTTGGGAAATGAAACCTCAGATGAACAACAGTATCAAAATTATTACTGAATTATTAAAATTATTTTTACATAATTCATTCATTCATTTTCCTTCGGCTTAGTCTCTATTTCCGAGGTCACCACAGCGGAATGAACCGCCAACAAATCCAGCATTTGTTTTACACCGCGGATGCCCTTCCAGCCACAACCTAGTACTGGGAAACACCCATACACACAGACTCATACACTACGGCCAATTCGGTTTATTCAATTCATCTGTAGGTTCACTGTGCTATAGGTGAAATAAATAAACTAAATTGGCCATATGCATGTGTTTGAATGTGAAAGTGTATGGGTGTTTCCCAGTATTGGGTTGCAGCTAGAAGGACATCCACTGTGTAAAACATATGCTGGAATAGTTGGCGGTGCATTCCACTGTGGTGACCCCTAATGAATAAAGGAAGTAAGCTGAAGGAAAATTAATGAATTACAGTTATATAGGATTATATAATATAGTATTTTTGCTCCTATATATTATATATAATATACTGTAAAGGAGCTCATTTTGTTCATTAAATAATGAGATGTGTGAGATTTCATGTGGTGTTTTCAGGAGCGTTGCTAGACATAAAGCTCTACTGGGGCACAGCACCCCCTCCAAAAATAAGCAAATAAAAAATAAATAAAATAAAATAAATAAATAAATAAATAAGCAAAATAAATAAATAAACAAAAAAATATATTTATATATATGTTATAAAACAAAATAATTCTAAATAAATAGCAGTACTGTTGTTATTATACAATTATTATTCTAAATAAATAAATAAATAATAGAAATTATCCTAAATGTAACTGGGAAACAATCTAAAGACACAACTGGAGTGATGCTAAGATAATTTAAGAAATCTTTTGCCTGAATATTAAGTTTATTAGAATGAATAATCTGCTGTGTGGAGACCCGACTCATGGCAGAGAATTAGGTTTATTGTCTAACCTCTCTCCTTTCTGCTTCATACCAAAAAAAAAAAAAATTAGGCGCCATGCATATGAATAGGATCACCATCATATTATTGAAACTTTGTCTTGTTGACTTGCAAAACTCACTGTGTGCCGACACCTCCACATAAAAGACGGTTACGCCAGTTTCACAAGGCATGAGCGACACAGCTTTTTTTTCATCGTGCATGTTCACAACCATGACTAGGAGCAGAGCAGCACGTCAGATTCAAACAGGAGCGGTGTGTGAGGTGTGCAGGTATGTTTTTTTGTCTGCGCACATGCTCAGTTAGCTTTTTTGATTTAACTACATTGCCTTCATCAGCGTTGGTTCGGTTGCACATAACCTCTAACGTCTTTATTCGGACATTACCACTCCTAAAAAATACACTTGCATATAAAGTAAATCGTATCTCAAAGCATTTACAGAGGCACTGGTGATTTTTACAGGGCCACGTGTGCCAGTAAATGGGGTCCAGCGACACCTCTGGGTGTTGTTAATCTGAGGTTTTAAAGACCTACCAAAAATGTTGTCCTGATACAGAAAACCATGTAGTGTGCTAACTTTTTCACATGACAGTATATTAGTTACATGAATTACTGTCTGATGATTTATGAATGAAGCAGGCCATATTTCTGCACTCACAGTCAATTAAGAGCAATCCTGGATTACAAACATAGACACTGTGAAATGAACCGAAAGGAATGAGTTCGATTTCTCCACAAGTGAACAACACAACTTTACAAACAGGTTACTAGAGAGATAAACACTACAGCCTACTGAGGGTGAATCGCACAACACATACACAAAATAAATCATTGAATGTGTTCATTTTCCTTCGGCTTAGTCCCTTTATTCATCAGGGGTCGCCACAGTGGAATGAACCACCAACTATTCCAGTATATGTTTTACACAGCGGATGCCCTTCCAGCTGCAACCCAGTACTGGGAAACACCCATACACACTCATACACTACAGGTCAGTTTACCGTATTCAATTCACCTATAGCGCATGTGTTTGGACTGTGGGGGAAACCGGAGCATCTGAAGGAAACCCATGCCAACATGGGGAGAACATGCAAACTCCACACAGAAATGCTGCCCAGCAGGGATTCAAACCAGCGACCTTCTTTCTGTGAGGCCACAGTGCTAACCACTGAGCCACCGTGCCGCCCATAATTAAATATAATTTAAATTTGACATTTAGTTACAGTTTAACTGCATTATAGTATATTTATTTAAATAATAAAATAATTTAATTAAAATAAATTACAGAAAAAATATTTAAAATATAAAATAAAACTAAAATCTATATGTAGCTATCATAATGCCAGAATAATGTATTTTTCTTTCTGATATTGTGGTAATACGTGACCAGTATTGTAGTTATTGTGAGATTCACCCGCATGTGGCTTTAAACAGACTCCAACACACATCATTGACGTAATCACTAATACTAATAAAACAAAAACAAAAGTAGATAAATATGTGCAAACTCCTGCATTCATCAACATAACAGAGAATACAGAGCATCCGGAAAGTATTGATAGCGCTTCACTTTTTCTACACTTGTTTATGTTAGAGCCTTATTCCAAAATGAATTGAGTTCATTGATTTCCTCAACATTCTACACACAATCCCCCATAATGACAATGTGAAAAGAGTTTTTAAAATTGTTGCAAATGTATTCAAAATAAAAAAGCTGAGGAATCACATGTACATCAGTATTCACAGCGTTTGGCGTGAAGCTCTACATTTAGCTCAGGTTCATTCTGTCTCCACTGATCATTCTGGAGATGTTTCAGCAGCTTTATTAGAGTTCACCTGTGCTCAATTCAGCTGATTGGACATGATCTGAAAAGGCGTACACCTGTCTATATAAGCTCCCAGGGTTGACAGTGCATGTCAAAGCACAAACCAAGCATGAATACAAAGGAATTGTCTGTAGACCTGTAGAGGCACAAGGCTGGGGAAGCTTACAGAAACATTTCTGCATCTCTGAAAGTTCCAATGAGCACAGCGGCCTCCATCATCCGTAAGTGGAAGATGTTTGGAACCACCAGGAGTCTTCCTAGAGCTGGCCGGCCATCTAAGCTGAGTGATCGAGGGAGAAGGGCTTTAGTCAGGGAGGTGATCAATAACCCGATGGTCACTCTGTCTGAGCTCCAGCGTTCTTCTGTGGAGAGAGCAGAACCTTATAGAAGGACAACCATCTGTGCAGCAATCCACCAATCAGGCCTGTATAGTGGTGTCCAAACAGAAGACACTCCAGGAATTTGCCCAAAGGCATCTGCAGGACTCTCAGAGCATCAGAAACTAAACTCTCTCGTCTGATGAGACTCAAATTGAACTGTTTGGAGTGAACGCCAGGCGTTACGTTTGGTGAAAAGCAGGCGGCGCTCATCACCGGGCTAACAGCATCCCTACAGTGAAGCATGGTGGTGTTGGCATCATGCTGTGGGGATGTGTTTCAGCAGCAGGAGCTGGAAGACTAGTCAGGATAGAGGGAAAGATGAATGCAGCGATGTACAGAGACATCCTGAATGAAGACCTGCACAAGAGTGCTCTCCACCTCAGACTGGGGTGACGGTTTATTTTACAGCAGGACAATGAGCCAAAGCACACCGCCAAAATATCAATGGAGTGACTTCACAACAACTCTGTGAATGTCCTTGAGTGGCCCAGCCAGAGCCCAGATCTGAATACAATTGAACACCTCTGGAGAGATCTGGAAAATGGCTGTACACTGTCGCTTCCAATCCAACCTGATTGAGAGGTGCTGCAAAGAGGAATGGGCAGAAATTCCCAAAGACAGGTGTGCAGAGCTTGTGGCATCATATTCAGACAGAATACAGACTTGAGGCTGTAATCGCTGCCGAAGATGCATCAACAAAGTATTGCGCAAACGCTGTGAATACTGATGTACGTGTGATTTTACAGCTTTTATATCTTGAATAAATTCTCAACAATTTCAAAAACTCTTTTTTCACATTGTCATTATGGGGGATTGTGTGTAGAATGTTGAGGAAACCAATGATTTTAATCCATTTTGGTTACATGGCTGTAACATAAACAAATGTGGGAAAAGTGAAGCGCTATCAACACTTTCCGGATGCACAGTTTATAATGCAGTAGTGATAAAACGTCTCTTTCCTCCTGAAATCAGCCATCTTGATCTACATCACACAGTTTGACTCGAATTAAATATAATATTTGGTATCAACAAAAACAAACCACGATTCAGATTCAAGGCAGAATGATACAATCATGTATGGACGCTATAACATCTTCTCATGCTTATATGCTCTTCCATTCTCACAAACGCTTCTATTAAATATGATATCAAGTCTGTTATAAAATAAACGCTTCATATTAAAAGTGTATGTTTATTAGCGCATGCTTAATTGCTTGTTATAAAGTCCCCCATTGGTCCAGCTCACGTCATATGCAAAGGACTAAAGAAATAAGGGTTTGATTGTAGTCAATTTGTCATGTTCTAGTGCTCATAAAACCATGAAAATAATCCAACCGAGGGCTTTAATCACCACAGAAAAAATAAATAATCAAGCAAAATAGACAGATTTCCTTTTGGTCACTATTTGGTTTGGTTGTAATTTAAAGGATTCAGTATTGCTAATGCTAATGAGCTCAAACTAAACGTGTTAATTATTTTAAAACTGATCAGATAAGCAGGTGTGTGTTTGACTCTTGCATATTATTGGTCTCCAGTGTCACACGATTGATCATCAGAAAAGCATAGCTTTTAAACGCCCGCCAATCAATGACATCCAGCCAATCCAGAGTGCTGGGGGGGCGTGGCTTGAGACTCCGCCTCCACTGATGCGCAAGTAAATGAAGGCGATGACAGACAGAACACATCAGATTAATATTATTATGTATCTTCTGTTAGGCCAGCTAACACTAACAAGTTCAACCAGTTTGTTGTTTTTTTGGAAGCGCCGCAGACGTGAAGATAAAGATCGAGGAAAAAATTCAGTGCAAGACATAATGGCTACTTGAAATGAGTTAGAATCAGTGTCGTAGTTTAGTGTATCTCCAATACTGGACGACAGCAGTGCAGAAGCAGCAGGTGTGTGTGTGTGTGTGTGTGTGTGTGTTTAGCTGCCGGGGTCTGAGCTGTGCTTCTGCGGTGTCTGCGGGCTCAGTGGCGTCTGTGGCTCCTGTAGAGAAAAACGCCGCTGGACGTCCAGATCCAGAAGTGTCCTGGAGCCGTAGCGAGGAGCAACGGCGCCCTCTGCTAAATGAAGATCAGTGCTGCTGCTCAGAGATTCACATGACTGCAAACACACACACATAGACAAGTCAGGGGAGAGTAATAGTGATGGACACACACACACACACACACATACACACACACACACGTAAAAGAGTCAGGGGAGAGCAATACAGCTGGATACACACACACACACACACACACACCTGTGAGAGCGAGGCAGGGGTCTGTGAGTCCAGCGGGGTGACGGGCTGCACGAGTCTCTCAGGGAACACAGAGACCTGCGGTGGGGAGGACACACTGCTGTACGCTGGAGGAAGCAGCATCATCTGCCTCTGCAGCAGCTGCATGATCGCTCCGATATCTGTGGACATGCGGCTCTCCAGCCTGAACACACAAACACACACACACACACCCCTCATAAACTAACAACACATACAGTTAACCCAGACTCATTGTGGATATGTACACAGGTATACATTTCTGGGAACCCCGAAAAAGATACAGGGTTTCAGCAGGTTTCACCAAGTCAAATGTAAGACTTTTGAAGACCGTTTTAAGCAACCCAAGCTCATTCGGGAAACGTAGCCCTGCAGACGTTTCTGGAGACCGCGATTTACGTGGCCGGAGGTACGTAAGGCCGCGTTTAGTTTTCTTCGAGTGAACGCTGCGGGGCGGTGTGGCGCCGCTCCGCCCCTCCACTCGCCTCCGAGTGGAGGGCTTTCCTGATGCAATCAGTTTGTCCGCTTAGCTCACAGCGTTGCGTCGGCGGAGCGGAGGCCCCGGAGGAGGAGCCGGCTGCGGTGGACGACAACCGTGATCGAGTCCGGGGAACAGTGGTTCCAGAAATCAGGTAAGACGAAAAATGGAATCCGAAAAATAAGGGCGAGAACGCGGCGGGATCTAAAAACGCGGTCAAAATCGAAGACGAGGGCTTTTGCTTTTTTTTTTTTTTTTTTACTGGACGGCTTTTGCGAACCGTCGCTTGGGTTTAGGGAAGGAGGAGGAAGAGGAGGGCGGCAAAGTCGGCGGCTTTTCGCGCGAGAACGGCACGGGAGTGAACAGCGCACGCTCCCGAGAGGCGCCCGAGACGCGAAAAAGCGCGCACATCGGCCTCTCGCGGATCCGCGAAAACAAAAAACGCTCGAATACGTACCTCCCGGGACGTAAATCGCGGTCCGCAGAAACGTCCGCGGGGCTACGTTTCTACAATGAGCCCGGGTTGGTTTTAAGACTTTTTCATGAATGAAATTTCAGACTTATACAGGACTAAACGATAAGGATAGTTTCTAATGCCACTCGGCCCATTAAAGTTCAAACTAAGCTATGTATAAGCGACGTTTATAAGTAAATAATTTCTCAAACAAAACAAATAAGCAAACTCCAGTCACATGCATATACTTTATTTCAGCATATTGTTTGTTTAAAGGGCTCAGTGTTCAGCATGAGTGACCTGTTGAGCTGTTTCTGCAGCAGCTCCAGCCGGTTCTCCATCTGGCTGCGCTGCTGGCGGCTGATGCTGCGCAGGGGTGTGCTGGGGTGCGGTGGAGGAGACGGCAGGTTACAGCGCGGGAGCTCCTGATACTCCCTGCCTCGACTCTCACCCCAGAAACTGAAGATATTCGACACACCTGAGAAAGCACCTGAAACACACACACACACACACACACACACACACACACATTACTGTCACTACTGCCATATCTTGTCATTCACAGCACTTTTCTTTCTAAATAAACATTTGAATTAGTTTAATATTCACATTATTTCTATTTGATTATGAAATTTTATTTCTTATTTTTAACTTATTTTTTTCAAACTTATTTTTAACTTTTACATTTAAATTTAGGTAACAAATGGTTTCGTGTCACTACAATTGTACTAATATCAATTTTTGTCATCAAATAACTTAAGGTTGTGTGGTGGTGCAGTGGGTACAGCAAGAAGGTTGCTGGTTCGAGCCTCGGCTGGGTCAGTTGGCGTTTTTGTGTGGAGTTTGCATGTTCTCCTTGTGTTGGCGTGGGTTTCCTCCGGGTGCTCCGGTTTCCCCCACAGTCTAAACACATGCGCTATAGGGGAATTGGGTTGGCTAAATTGTCTGTAGTGTATGAGTGTGTATTGGTGTTTCCCAGTGATGGGATGCAGCTGGCAGTGGTTCATTCCGCTGTGTAAAACATGTGCTGGATAAGTTGGCAGTTCATTCCGCTGTGGCGACCCCGGATAATAAAGGGACTAAGCCGAAAAGAAAATGAATGAATGATTATTATTGTTGTGTAGAGTGTACTGCACCCATTCTGTCACCTGATAGGGCGTTGCATGTGTTTCCTGTCTTCGGATCCGCCTCTCCTTCGGCCGCATCTATCAGTGCAGTCGGAGGGGTGGGGCTTGTGTGTGCAGCCTCCTCCCCCTCGTCACTGGAGTGGGAGGAGACAGAGTTACGAGGCTCCTCCCACCCCGATCTGAGATCGTTCCTGCTAGCGGCTGCTTGTTTTCTGCCTCTGCGAATGGGCTTCTGGTTCTTCTTGATCTCCCCAGCATCTGCATCATCTGGACACAAGAAAACAAATTATTATATAATAATAAATACATTATACAATATATCAGTATATTATTATATATAATACATTATTATATAGCACAATATATCATTTCAGTATTGATAACTAAATGTGTGTATCTGAGTATACACACTCACCGGCCACTATATTAGGTACACCTTAATAGTATCATGTTGGAGCTTAGTTTTTCCTTCAGAACTGCCTTAATCCTTCATGGCAGAGATTCAACAAGCTACTGGAAATATTCCTCAGGAGATTTTGCTCCATATTGTCATGATAGCATCACGCAGTTGCTGCAGATTTGTCGGCTGCACATCCATGATGCCAATCTCCCGTTCCACCACATCCCAAAGCTGCTCTATTGGATTGAGCTCTGGTGACTGTGGAGGCCATTTGAGTACAGTGAACTCATTGTCATGTTCAAGAAACCAGTCTGAGATGATTGAGCTTTACGACATGCTGCGTTATCCTGCTGGAAGTAGCCTTCAGAAGATGGAGACACTGTGCTCATAAAGGGATGGACATGGTCAGCAGCAATACTCAGGTAGGCTGTGGCGTTGATGCTCAATTGGTTCTAATGGACCCAAAGAAAATCTCCCCCACACCCTTACACCACCACCACCACCCTGAACTGCTGATACAAGGCAGGATGATCCATGCTTTCATGTTGTTGAGGCCAAATTCTGACGCTACCATCCGAATCCGAGACTCATCAGAGCAGGCAACGTTTCTCCAATCTTCTATTGTCCAGTTTTGGTGAGTCTGTGTGAATTGTAGCCTCAGTTTCCTGTTCTTAGCTGACAGGAGCGGCACCCGGTGTGCTCTTCTGCTGCTGTAGCCCATCCGCCTCAAGGTTGGACGTGTTGTGTGTTCAGAGATGCTCTTCTGCAGAGCTCGGTTGTAACGAGTGCTTATTTGAGTTACTGTTGCCTTTCTATCAGCTGGAACCAGTCTGGCCATTCTCCTCTGACCTCTGGCATCAACAAGACATTTGCGCCCACAGAACTGCCGCTCACTGGATATTTCCTCTTTTTGGGACCATTCTCTATAAACCCTAGAGATGGTTGTGCGTGAAAATCCCAGTAGTTCAGCAGTTTCTGAAATACTCAGAGCAGCCCGTCTGGCATTAACAACCATGCCACGTTCAAAGTCACTTAAATCCCCTTTCTTCTCCATTCTGATGCTCGCTTTGAACTGCAGCAGATCCTCTTGACCATGTCTACATGCCTAAATGCATTGAGTTGCTGCCATGTGATTGGCTGATTAGAAATTTGCGTTAATGAGCAGTTAGATAGGTGTACCTAATAAAGTGGCCGGTGAGTGTAGTCATATGCATGATTTGTAGAGTCACTGCAAACTTTAACCATACATTTATTAATACACTTATCATTTGCAAGTGTTTTTTTAATAGCCTGTGATTGTGTAAGGAAACGTTTAAAGCATTCAGGCATAATAAATGATAATGTTTGTAACTTTAAATTGAATTAATGTATATTTACAATAGACAATGCAGTGGTATTTTAATTCTGACTGTGCAATTTGTGCCTGAATAAAGCTAGACCCACAGAAAACCATTACTAGAGTACTGTTTATTTCATTTGTGTGTGCGTTCAACTGTATTTATCGGTGCTTGTGTTTTGTTTATTATATTTTATCCAAATGATCTCCAATAAAAATCATCCCAATCAATCCAAAATGATGAATGATTTCCAAATGGAGCTACTGAAGTCATCTGGGAAAGACATATTCAATATGTTTTGCAGTAAATAAGATGTAGTAAGGTCAGTATGGGGCAGCCCTGATTCTAAATGCTGGACGCTGCAGTCATTAATGCTAAGTTAATTCAGATTTTTCAGCAATACCCTTTTCAGTTCGTCTCCTGAAGGAAAGTTTCCTCCTCCGCAGTTTGTTGAAGCCGGCGCAGTCTGAATCGTCGCTGCTGGGAGATCCAGGAATCATGTTTGTCTGTAGAGGCACACATCCATCATACAGTATATTTATATTATTGTTTGAAAGACCCAGCTCACGGAATCATTATGCTTATCTCTGTTAACTCACGTCTCTGAGGTTGAAGGTGATCTCCAGGTTAGTCCAGAAGTGATCAGAAAACTCGGGGTACATGTCCAGCACCTCCAGCAGATCTTCCCTGTGGATCTTATGGAGGTCGCAGTAGGTCAGCGCGCGCACGTCTGCGTTAGATTTACCAGGTCGAGCATAGAGGTTGATGGGCTCCCCGAATATATCGTTCTTCCCTGAAATAAACAATCACAGTCACTATAACAGAAATACAACAGTTTATTATGAAACATTAATACATACATTAATTTACATTTACATTGTCATTTAACAGCCACATTCAACTGAGGAAATCAGCGACTCAACATTAATACAAATTATAAACATTTTATTATATCATTTTTTTCTATTGCTATATATATATATATATATATATATATATATATATATATAT